CGTAAATATTAAAAGTTTATGAGTTATTAACAAAAACGTAAATACCTCTTTTTTTTCATCTTATTTTGTTAATAACAATTGCAATTTTTTACGTGCAGTAAAATCCTCAAAACTCATTTTTCTAGAGGTCGTTTCGAATCCAATGAGCTATTGCTCATATTTTTAGGAGCTTTATCTCTATTTTTCTCGTTTTTGAACTTGTTGACTGGACTACTTGTAATTACATGGAATTCTCTGTTATTACTTGTTCAAAATGACAGACGAGAGACTAAACATATATTTTGAGAACACAATTTTAGGTCATGTGTTTATTTTTGGGTTTAGCAGTTAAATATATCATGTTCTCATACTCATTTGGAAATCGTTGTTATAATATTTTCATCAATTCAATTCGAATATACTTAGTTTGTTCTCTGTTTGCAGAGACCAAAATAGCATTTTAATCCCTGGGGACTAAAAGTGGATTAAGGATTCAAAAAACGTTTTCGCCTTTAAAATTGTTCTTTGCTCTCTTAGTAAACAATCTATCTACTATAATATAGTTTGCATCAACCGCTTACAATAACTTTAAGAGACTTAATAATAAGTAATCCATACTAATATTATAAATGGGAAAGTGTGTTTGTTTGTTTGTTTGTCTTCTCTTCACGCCTAAACCGCTGAACCGATTGTGAGGAAATTTGGTATATGTATAGCTTGAACTTATGAGACTGCTATAGGCTACTTTTTATTAATTTATGTATTCGAATTTACATAATTTTCAACTAAATTAATCATTTTCATGGTTGGTCCCGATAGAGATGGCGCTACTGTCACGAAGACAGATTAAATTTGAAATGTGGAAGTTGCTATCTTAATACGAGATGGCACCACTCGTGTTCAATACCGAGTATTGTGTTTTGTGTTGGTGTTTCATTTATTAAATCGAGGTAATTTTACGCAATTTCTGTCTCATCTCATTTTTAAAATTATTTCTAGCAAATACTACTCTAAATTTATAATATAAAAATATCATTTTCGAATGATTATAGATTCTGGATGTTGCTTATAATAATAAGAGATGGCGCTACCATCTCGAATACCAACTCAACCGAGTAGTCTCTCTGGAAATAATATTTTCTGAGTAACTTAACAGATGGCACCACCCGTCTTTAAAATGAGTATTTTTAATTGCTAAAAATGTGAGTTGTGATATTGCGTTTTTTCAGATCGCGCTATTTATGAACATGACTTTTTAATATTTATTGTTAATTTTAACGTGATGTAGGTAGATATTTTAATTAAAACAATATTAGTAAAAAAAACCGACTTCCTTCAGTGTCCTAATATCTTACCAGAAAATCTTATAAAAATCAAATAGATATTAAATAATCAGCTGTTTACAGTAGACAGATACTAAATAAACAGCTGTTATGATTTATTTTAGTCCCTTAATCGAGTATTATCTAATAATTTTCAAGTGAAGATTGATCCTGGATGTTGAGTAGAGGTAGGCGCTACCAATTCGAATAACAATTCGAAAACCAAGTTGTTGCGTGTGAAACTGAAAAGATGTCGCTACCCTAAAATAATAATAATAGCCCTAGCCCTAACCCTAGCTAAAATAATAATAATTAAATAAAAATAATTAACTAAAAAAAAACACAAAAAGGAATATTAAAAAGCAATCGTTTTGCAGCAAATCTTGGGTTTTTGTGAAAATAGGTGAATGGATAATTATTCGCATTTTTTTGGATTTTAAATACCTACCTACTATAAACAAGTTGAATAGGTGTTTACAAAACATTTTTATACTGTTGTAACTAAAATAGGTATTTTTTTTTATAAAAAAAAAATATTTCAGATACCTTCACCGTAATAATGACGCGCAAACGCAAATCTAGCCTTTATAGAGTATCCTCTCAAGCACGAGCAAAGAGATTAACTAGGTCGCAAGAATCTCTTGAAGAAATTGAACTGAGAAGGCAAGAACAGGCAGATCGCCAAACTGCTTTGAGGACCTCAGAATCTCAATCGCAGACACAGGAAAGGCGTCTTGAACAGTCTGAACGTCAAGCGAATTTGGGGACCTTAGAATCACTGTCGCAGACACAGAGAAGACTTCAGGAGCAGACAGAGCGGCAGGCTTATTTGAGAGCCGCTGAATCGGATGTTCAGTCTTAACAAAGACTACTTGAACAAGCGGGGCGTCAAACTGCTTTAAGAGCTGCAGAAACACCTGCTGAAACTCAGCAGACTTGATGAGCAAGCAGAACGACAAGCTTTTTTGAGGTCATTCGAAACACCCGAACAAGCACAGGCGCGCAGAGATTTAAATGTACGGCTTCAAGCAGAAAAGCGCCGTAATTTTAATAGAAATAAGCTACTTTTTTACTCACTATGTCAAAAGAGGATGATAGCCTCAAATAGGAAAACCACGCGAGCGTAGCCGCGGGTAACAGCTAGTTGTTTATAAATTGAATTCTCTTTTGTAGTTTTTATCTAGTACAAGACACCATGTATTGCGATACCCTGACAGGGTTCATGTAAGGAACTTTGTGCATTTTTTAACCATCTATGTAACCACATGAATGCAATCAATTGAATTTAATATAATTTTCTTTTCTTTGTCAGCGCATACCATGCCGACAGTGAAAAAAATTCCCTAAACGGAAATAACAAAAAAAAACTTAATTAAATAGATCACTTAATTATATTCAACAAATTATATGTATACAATTATATATTTTTTAAGCATTTAACTACTTGTTGTTTAAATCTAAGAAAATATAACTAGAAAAAAATCCACGCGGACCAGGCAGCAGACGAGACTCGAACCCGCAAGGGTTCGCTATCCGGGCGAATGCACTTACCAATTATGCTACCGCAGCCCTGATAGCCGCGTCGAAATTCTTCTAGCCATTCTTAAGCTGCAAGGCTTCGCATTGTAGGTAACCCAAAATGTCAAATGAATCCTTTTACAAGTATTAAACATTTAAAAGAAGAACTGCTTGATGTTTAAATCTAAAGAAAATATAACTAGAAAAAAATCCACGCGTACATAATTGCTAGTTTTGTACTTATATACCCGAAAAAGAATCAACTTCATTTAATCAGATAGTGATTATCTAAATAAAAATCCAATTATCACAATCAAAATAAGCATATGAAACAATTCTTTATCTTCCAATTATAATTTTAGTGTTGTTCATTTGGGAAATGCATCCTCTCTTCTAACCAATTGCGTGCCCGACGGGGTAGGCATTATATAAATATGAGCATTATAGTGCTCATATTTATATAATACCTACCACCGACTGTACACATTATGGTTGTAATAAATGAGTTGAGTTGAAACTTGCCCGATTCACATATAAAAAATAGACTTCAACTAGATAGTTAAAGTTTGAAGCATAATACTGTACAAAACCCTTTTTAGGGTCATCACTCACTGTAACGACGCGCCGTCGACAGCGATTAGTTTGCCATATAATTAATACGAGGGTCTAATTTGTACGGTGGGAATACATTTTCAACTAACAAATAGCGAACAGTAACTAAATTTAGTGTCGGACCTGTGTCTTGTTATAGCAAAGTAAAGTTAACCCGTATTACAATAAAGGTTTTAATTATTTGACAAAAATTTGGATTGTCTATACTGCGCGGATTCAGTTTATTCTCGTTATGTCAAAGTAATGTAGGTCTATCTGTGATAGGTACTAAAAATTCACTCACCCGTTGTTTTATATAAGTCGCGGCACGAAACTCTAGCACTGACCGTTATTGCACAGAAGTAAAAATTAAGATGTCTTGGGGGGAAACGCGGTGCGCGGGTGGGCGTGCGTTGTGCCGATTGGCTCTCCAGTCGTACCCATGCGCAGCTATCCCCTCCGCGTATTGTTCAGCGCTAGAGATCGGGCCGCGTGGAATATTCTTCATAGAGTTCAACATTATTATCACGTTTTAAGAAAATTGCTCGATTAATATGATCTATATTTAAATATTAATAGATAATACAAAAGAAGTAAAAGCATCTGATAGCTTTTTTAAACTTTTGTTCATACGAGGCGTTGCAAAATATTTAAAATAATAGGTACTGCCTTTTGGTTGTGCGGATTTTTTTATTCTGCTTTTTATTTAATAGTGAATTATCATTTTTCTCGATATCGCATAAGACAACCCTTTCCGACTGCAATGGTGGAAGTTAGGCAACTTTGGAAATGGCCGGGTTTAGGATGGGTAACCAAAAGTAACTTATAATGGCAGACACGTCGAGCCGTTGACCCCGACTGTGTCTACTTACTAGTTACTAGTCGTAAGGACCCACCAATCAGCACTGTACTGGACACGCGCGTAGGTCATGGCCCGTTCTTCCTCTTCCATCGATAGGGACGATCAGTGACCCAGCACTGGGAACTTCAAAAGTAAAAAAAGTCAAAAGTCAAAAATTCTTTATTCAAATTGCATGCACAATACAACTCTTTTGAAACGTCGCATATATTTTTTCCTGCTACCAGTTAAGGGCATTTTTTTAGCTGTGGAGAAAAACTGCCAAAAAAACTTGACAGCGTTAAATAGCAATATTTATAAAATATCATATTGTTACGGTTTCAATACAAAATCATATTATTTTCATTATAATTATAGAAAAAGCCTGCAGGAACGTTTGGAATAGTTTAAATCCAAGCATTTTTGTCTGAATATAATCAGACACCTTATAAAAGTAATAACTTTTGTAATATTTGCTTTAAAGTGAGTCTTATTTTTTAAAAATATTGTTAAGGACTTTATTGACGAAACGTACATAAAAACCTTTATATGAATTATTGATTTTGTATCTTCTTCAATAGACTATTGAATTCAATAGCAACTGATTTCATTGTTTTATATTATGATGCGAGGAGCTCGATGGCGCAAGTGGCTAGCGCGTTCGGCTGGGAACGTTGAAGTTAAGCAATTTTTGACAGTGGTCGGTCATTGAATGGGTGACATTTTAATTTCTGGTCATGATTGTATTCTAGAGGTCCACATACTATGGGCACAGCATCAAGTGCACCACACATCTGAAGACTTCAACATGGGAGTTGGTATCAGGCAATCAGTACTGCAGGGCTGGTGTGGATTTGTGAGTATTTTTAAATGATTGCTTATTAAAAAGAATATTTTTAAGCTTCTTGATTTATAATATCAATGGGCGGCAGAAACCACCCTAGTAACTGAAAATAGTACCTATATACTCAACTTCTTGTTAATTAATAATATGAATGTGTTGAAAATTTACATCAACACACGTTTTCAGGTTTTTTGTCATCTTTCAATAGACGACACTGTATGAAACCAAACAGGGGAAAAAAATAATGGCCTTGCTGAGTTTCTTGCCGGTTCTTCTCAGTACAAGGTCTCCCGCCATAGATTTACGAACTGATGACGTAGCGTTTGACTTTCACAAGAGCTTGTAACCTAGACTTAATAAATGAGTTTGAGTTTGAAGATGGAGGACTAAGCGATAAATACCAGCATATAAACTAGCCAAATATGTGTCTGTTTATGTTAAAAGGGCATACGAGCGTATGGCCAGCCTGATGGTGAGCGGTCACTATAGCCTACAAAAGCTTGTGATACCAAACTTATCACTTGTACCGTTACCTACCCTGACCCAATCCCCTACTCCATGGAGCTCTGGACCCTTACTAAGTGTCACCGCACACGGGCCACCGATCACAACCACAAATCGCCGCTACCGGCATATTTCTTGTAGTTTTTATACATTTTATATGGTCTCGCCACACACGTTGCTCACTTCTTGTGGCCCGCACCGGCCACTTAATGCAAAATACAAAACGTTGGCACACGTCACTCACGCGATTCCCCACCCCTCTCTCCCTTACCTTAGTGTCGCCGCACACGGGCCACCGATCACAACCACAAAACGCCGCCACCGGCATATTTCTTGTAGTTTTTATACATTTTATATGGTCTCGCCACACACGGTACGCAGGTGGCCGCCACACGCTACAAATCGTCGTTGCTCGCTTCTTGTGGCTCGCACCGGCCTGTTAATGCGCCGATACAAAACGCCGCCACACGTTACTCGCGCGATTCCCCACCCCTCTCTGCTTTAATTTAGTCGACCGCTGTCACGCGCTTCAGCCACTTTAGTAGCCGCTTCTAGCTTCTCGTGGCGATAATTACCGACAGAAACACAACACCACCAAAAGTGGAGGTTACTTCCCCAGCGCTCCATTTAGAAGGGAAAAGCCCTACCTCTTTAATAATATTTCTCTGCTTCCCACACAGGCACTGACTTTAATAATTTTTATCCGCCCATCTCATGACCAGCCATGACACAAATGACTAAACTTCTTTAATTTGAATTTTCAGATACCCTCATATTTGAATTAACTCTTGTGGTGGCAGAGATCATAATTCTATAACAGTTCATTGAACAAAAAGTACCCAAACCAATTTGAATGTACTGATGTTTTAATAATCAGGCATGACGGCGCATATGTTTATATTATTCAGATTCAGAAAGGGCAAGGCCACGTCACTGCGTTGCGGCGTCGCGTCGCACCGTAGAATCCTACGGGTTATTCCAATAATCCCCATTGACTTGCTCCATCAACAGGGAATTGTGAACTTTTCTTTCACTTATCCCCATTCGATGCCAAGCAAATTGATATTGGGGATAAGTGGAAGAAAAGTTCACGATCCCCCAATGATGCGGCGAGTCAATAGAGATTACTGGGGAACATCGCCTTATCCAATGCGCTGCTGGCTGTTGCGATGAATTTTTTTTCATTGCATCATCACATCGTATTGCGTCGCGACGTCGCAACGCAGTGTTGTGACCCCGCTCTTAGGCTTCAATTAATTTTAATTAATATTGGTTTTGTCTGTCAACCAATCAACTGTTTTGAACGAAAATTTCGAAAGAGTTTGTACATATATATGTATAGGTTTATTCGGAATATTTTTTAAGCAATGTCGCGGAACCCCAAGGGTCGTTGTAGCTGAAGACCTCAATTTAAATGTAAATATCCCCGGTTTAAACATTACAGAACGTACTACTACCTAATTTACATTTATACGTTAACTTTGGACAGATATGTAAAGGTTCCACTTAGCGCCCCTTTTTGTAAAAAAAATCAGGACCAGAGTTTCAGTAAGAAAGATTCGTTAAAATCACGTAATAAAAATGTTATAAAGAATGTGAAAGATTGTTTAAGAGATGTATGGCATAGCGGATTTTATGTTTTTCTCTTTAGGTATTTTTAGGCAAGACGTTAAAGCTTTTAGGTATTTTTACGAAGGGTATTTAACATCGCTGATTACAAACAATTCCTCTATACGTTATATAAGAAAATACATCATACATAAGATATAAGGCAGTGAAAATACCTAATTAATTAGACCAAACACTAACGTATCCCCATGTAATTGTCGCTAAAGTTTTATCGTCTACTGTGATTAATTCGTTCGCTGTCACTTTTATTGAACCTGAAAAAGAAAAAGATGTAACGCAACGAAACGACGCGACGGCACGTTCACTTCGTATTAGTTTGATTTCAGTAGTTTTGGAAACAATAATTACTGCCCCATCGACTAAACTCATCTCCTAAACTGCTCAGGAAACTTAACTTGTCTATCTTTTTGTGTGATAAAGTTAGAAGCTGTTGATTAATCTTTAGTTTTTCCGACTTAACCATTATTCAACCAAGAATCTTTATTATCGTATTTTGAATATCGAAACCCAATAGTTTAAATCTTAAGAATTTGATAATCATGTTATGACATAATATCCTATTTGCGGATATCCCGCTAAAATTGGAGCACCCGTCTGGGGAAGTAACCTCAAAATTTCAGAAGACCACAGTAAAATAACACTACCTTTTGATGGTGTTGTGTTTCTGTCAGTGAGTATGGTTCCAGGGCTCCACTGGGCAGAGGATTACATCAGGGTGGGCAATGGCGAGAGTGATAATGTTGGTATCGAAAACGTACATATAGGCAATGGTGGCCGCTTACCAACCGGCGGGTCATACGCTTGCGTGCCACCCTTTTAATACATATTTCCACACTTTTAAAAATACTGTATGTATAATTTATTCGAGGAACTTGCATAACAATACTCGTTCGAAGAACTGAACAATAATCGTACAGAAAGAAGCAATATGAAATTCATTTTGCCAACTTTAGATTTTTTAATACTATGATACTAGCTGACGCAGAGAACTTTGTACCGCCATAAAAATAGGGGCAGGTGGTAGACGAGAAAATTTAAGGTTGTATGTATTTTTTAATACCACATTGTAAAAAATAAATATTGTCCAAACACAATTTTGGGGATGTGTAACGTAGTGTTCTATCAATTCCCTGGGATAACATTCCTCCTAACCCTTGAGAACACTACGTTACAATACCCAATAGTTTGAATTTTGGCACGAAGGCGTATTGTAGGTTTCAGAACACTACGTTACGGGTGGACAACCATTATCACTTCAATTCTCAGACCCACGGAATATGTTTCGGAGGAGTATGGTAACTAACATTGTTACACAAAAAAAATATAAATATAAGATTGGTATGTGCACTGATGACAGATTTCAGGAGCTCGATCGTTTGGCCTGCGATAGTAGAAGTCAAGCAACTTTTGCCATGGTCGGTGATTAGATCGGCCCAAAATCTTATTATCTCAAGCTCTTACGTGCTTCGGAAAGCACGGTATGCCATTGGTTCCGGCTGCAGCCGTTAGCTCTCACCAACCAGCACTGAGTTCGCGTGGTGGGGATATTAATAGGCTGATGATGACGTTGTGCACTGATGCAAAATTTTAAAGATAGCTATATTCACTAATATAATGCTATGGCCCCCTCTTAATCTATACTTACTTACTGCTTACTTACTTCTGTGGCGCAACGATCCGAAGTGGATCTTGTCCTCCGACACAAGATGACGCCATGCTCTGCGATCCCGGGCTAGGTCTCGCCAGCCGTCGGCACCAAAAGACTGCAAGTCCCTCTGCACCTCGTCGCTCCAGCGGTATCTGGAACGTCCAACGGGCCGTCGTCCTATCGGTTGCCCCAAATACGCCCTTTTCACGGCTCGATCCTCTCCCATTCTCTCTACATGCCCGAGCCAGCGGAGTCTAGCTGCATTAATTTCTCCTATGATGTTGGGCTCGGACACTAGATTTTCCAACTCGATGTTCGTCCGCACTCTCCAGCTACCATCCTCTCTTTGAGTCGGCCCCAGGATCTTCCGCAGAATCCTTCTTTCGTCCTCTTAATCTATAGTTATGTTTATTTTTGTCATCAGATATTCTACCTGCCGCTGGCCATAGCGATTCCACCGGCTCAATTCGTGATGCATCACCAGTTCAGCTACATTTATATGTTCTGGATCCACACGGAGGCCATCAAAAGCCTGGGCCCCCTGGAGTATATCCTCAACACTCCCAGCCATCATAGAGTTCATCATGGTAAGATTTTTTTTTTATCAACAAGAGATGTTGTGATACATTATGTGAAAACGCGAACTTTAAATCTTGAGAATGAAAAACTGAAACTCAATCACATATTAAGAGACAGAGGCATAGCGGAGTTTCCACTCGAGTTGGAGTGGCCGTCTGAGGAAGTCAGCTTCACCTTACAGAAGACCACAGTAACATAACACTATCTTTTGGTAATGTTGTGTTTTTGTCGCTGAGTAAGGTTCCAAGGCTCCAGTAGGGAATTAGGTAAAAATTTAGAAATAAGTCGCCCGTTTTGGGGTTTGCGAGGGAGGGGGGAGGAAAATGAATCCCCCCCCCCACTATTTCTGGTCGCCGGAAATACTTATTAACTTTCATAAAAAAGGTCTGTTTAAAAAAAACTGGCGATTCGCCGTTCGCTACCGCGGCACGCTCGCTTCGCTCGCTCGGCTCGCGCGGTATGGTCACAACACAAACCTAACCTAACCTACAGTAAAATATCACCACTTGGGCCCTGGAAGTACAGTTTAGCCGCGATGTGTTCTGCATATTTTTGAGTTAACATCAATCCGTTTTCTTCAGCGAATGTCACACACTGAAAAACGTAGCCAAATCGTTAAAATATCACAAATTATAACACGGGAGCACATTCACGAAAACTCGAAAGCAACGGAATGAATGACGCACAACGTATCTGTCAAAATCTACGTTCAAAATGGCGGTTTGCGTTTCGTTTCACGCGTTTGTTTAATGCTTTGCTTTAAAGGCAACTATTATACATAACTAATGTAAAAATTACGTCCCTTTCCACTTTTATTCTACGAAATTTTGAAAATTGATTTAAAATATTTATACGCAACTCCGGCAACCAAAGTTATTTTAGGGAGTCAAAAACGATATTACTTTAACCCCTTACACATCCAGTAGCCTCAAATTCAGGCGACTTGTTTCTAAATCCAACCCGGGAATTAAGTTAAGGAAGGAAAAGTGCGAGTGATATTAATGGTATCGCAAGCATCTAAGCTATGGCGGCCGTTTACCATCAGGCGGGCCATGCACTTGTTTCCCATCCTTTGTCTTCTGAAGACAGATGCCTTTCATAACCTCTATTATAGCTCTTAGATTAAAACAAAAAGGGTAGATACGGTACGCTCATACTTGCATCAAACAAAAACTGATCCCACGGCAGCGCGAACGGGACGGCGAGATCCGCGTCACTGCATTACCGACCCGAACGAAACAGCACGTTAAGTTTCAACGGCATCAGCGCGAACGAGACGGCGAGATCCGCGTCACTGCACTACCGACCAATCACTCGACGTCACTACCGAATAAGATTCAAAACAAACAGCAATTTTTATAAAAAAATATATTTTATAGTACTTGCGAATGAAAAGTGATGCCGTGGGTTTTATTTTTAGTTCTTGAGCAATTTGAGCACTTTTTAAAAACACACTAAGGCATTGTTTTATCATATAAACACAAAATATGAGCAATATTTCTTTTTGGCGTTCACATGTGCGTCGTTTGCATGTCAAGTTGTGACTAAAGCGATTAGGGTCGTGGACCACACCACGTGGTGCGGATCACTTTTGTGAGGCTAGTGCCGTATCTAACCTTTTTGTTTTAATCTACACTTTTTTAATATTCTTTCTAATGTTAAACCGAATGCAAATAAAAAATAAAATTTTAATTATATAAAATATTAACAGCAACGATGACAATTTCAGAGTAATATAAAATACTTATTAATAACCTTGCAGATTCGCTGTTCCTTCTGCAGAGGATTGGTTTCCGTTGTCCTAATAGGTCCCAGGTCTGACAACACGTTTGTAATACAATTCAGCAGGACCAAGTTTGCTACAAATAGTTTCATTTCTAGAGCATGTCACAGCTATAATAAATACTTCAGGGGATTGGATATATTTTGCCTTTCTTACAATCAATTTAGAAATGAGCATTCATGCAATAAGGTCGTTTTACCCTAACACTCAGTAATTATTTTCTTACCATAAATTTTGATCATCATGTTTATTCTATTCAAATAACTCTAAATATTGTACGCAACGTTAAGTAAATTATGTAAGTGTATGAATGTTTCAGTCTGTGGAAACCTAACGGGTTTATGAAAGAGTTATAAGCGTTACTTAATTGAATTGTGTAAAACTGTATGTTTCCCAAATGAAAGTAAATAAATAAATATACCCAATATATTTTATTAATTACGTTATATACATAAAGCTTCTTTGTTTAAATATTGACTTGTGTTTTTATGCATAAAATATGTATGGAAATCTGAGTCATACAGCTTTGACGTTAATCTTTCCTAATTAAATTATGTTTGCATTATACAAATCAGGTAGGCTACAAGCAGAATTTAATATAAGCTACAGGGGGATTATATTCTGAACGAGAAAATAATGCAAACGAATTTGCAATTTCCGATTAAGGTTGAACAGGTGAATATTGGTATATTTCTAACAAAGATTTCATTACGAATATATTATTTCATATTTATGCATAATGTCATCATCATCACCAGCAGCCTATTAATGTCCTCACTGCTGGGGCACAGGCCTTCTCTATGGATTGAATAGGGAGATTCGGCCATGACCGTCTAACTGTGGCCACAATTCCAACGCGTACAAAGAAATTTGGTGACTCCTTTCTTTGTCGCACTATCCGTAAATGGAATGCCCTGCCCGCTCACGTGTTCCCTCCCTCTTACAACCTGGGATTCTTTAAAAGAAGCGTGAAGAAGCAACATGCAGGCCGGCAGAGTGAAGATGGTTGGTAGGGCAGGTAGAACTGCTGTATCAGCTATCTTCGCGTCTGTACTTAACCGTCATATATCATCAGGTGGGGTGGAGTCATTTGTCGGACCCATCTATAAAGAAAAGAAAAACAATGACCCACCACGCGGGTCCACTGCTGATTGGTGGGTGCTAACGATTGCAGATGCAGCCGGGACCGACGGTTTATCGTGCCTTCCGAAGCACGGAAGAGCTCGAGATAGTATTTTTTTTTGTTCCCCCATCTAATGATCAACCACTGAGAAAGTTGCTTAACTTACTGATCTCCTCACATGCATAATATAAATGTCAATAAATAAATGGAGGATACCATATTACCAGATAACCATATTATATAGCCCCAAAGTAAGCATGAGGAGCTCGATGGCGCCAGTGTTTAGCGCGATCGGCTGCGGTCGTTGAAGTTGAGCAACTTTCGCAGTGGTCAGTCATTGGATGGGTGACCAAAAATTTACCATATCGAGCTCCTGCGTGCTTCGGAAGGTACGTCAAGCCGTTGGTCCCGGCTGCATCTGCAGTCGTTAGCACCCACCAACCCGCACTAGGCCCGCGTGGTGGGTCAAGGCCCAATCTCCCTAATCCATCCATATGGAAGGCCTGTGCCCCAGCAGTGGGGACATTAATAGGCTAATGATGAAGTAAGCATAAGCTTGTACTGTATGTACCAGATAACGTTTAATCATGCTTAAATACATAAATATCTATCATGACAAGTAGGCAAATGCCCGTGTTCATTACACAAACGTTTGATCCTTTTGGAATCGAACCTGGGGCTGCTTAATTTGCAATCAGGATCACTAACTGCAAGGCCAAGTGGGCTGGCAGTTTTTTTTTTTTTTTTTTTTTTTTTTTTTTTTTTTTTTTTTTTTTTTTTTTGTCACCAAATTTCTTTGTACGCGTTGGAATTGTGGCCACAGTAAAACGGTGACAACGTAGGCCAGCGCGCGTGGTCCTCTGAAGGAAAGGGGAAGGTGGGATAAGAGAGAATAACTCCTCAGAACACTCGCCGTGGTACAAACGATAGAACGCGCTTAGTGACGCCACGTCACGGCGTAATTGAAGAGGCTCAAGGTGTTTAGTCACCTCCTCATCGCCTATGATGCGTATCGCGCGCCGCTGTAACCTATCCAAAGCATCGAGCAAGTACTTGGCGGAGCCATCCCAGAGGTGCGAGCAATATTCCACGCAGGACCGCACTTGCATTTTGTACAACAAGCACAGTTGATCGGGCGTGAAAAAACGCCGCACCTTGTTCAGGACTCCGAGTTTGCGTGAAGCTGTTTTGATCACGGTTTCGATGTAGTCCTTTGGATTCAGGTCTGAGCGAACTTCCATACCGAGCATGGAAATGTTGCTCTGCAGCGGTAGTGTTGTGCCCTCAAAAAAAAAAAATGGAAATGTGTTCCAAAGCCTGATTGAGTTCAATGACAAGATTTTCCCGTTTCTCCCTGGTTACTGCATGCCCAGCCGCTGCTTGTCCGAGATACCCCGCATGCACTGTACTATCGTCTGCATAGCAATGAATATTCCCAAGAGGAATCAGGTCATTGATATGCAGCAGAAAGAGAGTGGGGGATAGGACGGAGCCCTGGGGAACGCCGGCATTCACTGACATGAACCGCGAACTGCTACCATCCGTAAGGACACGAATTCTACGCTCATGCAGGAAGTCAGCTACCCAAGAACAGAACTGGGCTGGCAGACCGTATGCCGGAAGCTTGGAGAGAAGGCTTTTGTGCCAGACCCTGTCGAACGCCTTGGCAATGTCAAGGCTGATAGCCAACGACTCGCCACGCTTGTCGATAGCCTCACTCCAGATATGAGTTAGGTACGCTAGAAGATCACCCGTCGATCGTTTCGGTTTAAATCCATATTGACGATCATTAATCAGGGAGTGATCCTCTAGGTTGCGGGTCAGATGGTTATTAAGGACCTTTTCTAGAACTTTACATAAAACTGAGGTGACTGCTATTGGCCGATAGTTTGCCGGGTCCGAGCGATCCCCTTTTTTGGGCACCGGTTGCACGTTAGCATCTCTCCAAGTCTCCGGCACACGCCCCAAAGAATACGAGCATTGGTACAAGCGCGTGAGCACGGGAGACAACTCCGCTGCACATTTTTTAAGTACTACTGCTGGGATGCCATCAGGTCCACTAGCTTTCCGGACGTCGAGTGATTGCAACTCGGCACGAACCTCACGCTGCCTGATTTTAATATCAGGCATCGTTGTGCCACAGTGAGGTAATGATGGTGGCAGTGCATTGCAATCATCGATTCGGGAGTTAGCCGCAAAGAGTTTTGCCAGTAAATCGGCTTTCTCCTGCGGCTTATGAGCTAGTGTTCCGTCTGGGCATCTCAGAGGTGGCAGCGAGGGCTGGCAGAAGTTTTTTTGCACGGCCTTGGCCAAACGCCAGTAGCTACGGGAGCCCGCAGGATGCGTTATAAGTTCCTGGCCAACACGTGCAACACGCTGGGCATCCGCTCTGATGTAAGCCTTCTTACAGGCCTTGGAAGCAGAATTGTAGGCTGCTTTGAGTGAATCGACCCCGGGATCCTTGAGAGCGCGGCCTCTGATCCAAGCACGATATGCCGCTTGCTTACGCGAAGCAGCTTCAGCACAGTCGTGATTGAACCAGAGGTTACGTGTGCCCTTACTAATGAGATCAGAATGAGGAATATAGTATTCCATACCCATTATGATCTCCTCAGTAATGGCAACGGCACTGCCCGATAGGTCCCTGTCACTGAAGCAGCGCTGCTTCCAAGGGACGGACGCAAAGTAATCACGCATACCGTCCCAATCTGCCGACCCATAATGCCAGATACGGCGCTTGACCACTGCTGGACGCGGAGGCTTGGCCTGTGGTGCTTTGGCAGATATCAGGCAGTGGTCGGACGACCCCAGGGGGGCTCTTACCACAACCTGATAGCCCTGTGGATGGGTCGTGAGCAGAAGGTCCAGTAAAGAAGGCGCTTGACTTGGAATATCTGGGATCCTGGTGGGCTAATCAACCAGTTGCTTCAAGTCATGCGTGAGAGCGAATGTGTGAGCAGAGATCCCTGCATGGTCAGTTTTGGAAGAACTTAACCACAAATTGTGGTGAGCATTAAAGTCCCCCAAAAACACCAATTCTGCATTGGGAAATCGCTCCTGCGCGTCATCTGCTGCCCGACTAAGGTGTTCAAAAAGTCGAGTTGTCTCAACATCGCCGGTGTGGGATCTGTAGAGGCACACGTAGACTCTGGCCCGGGGGCCAGAGTCGACGTGTACCCCCAGCATGGAGAAGGAGGGATCTTCCAAGCAGCGGAGACGGCGACAACAAACATCCGCCCGAACATACAGGCATACACCGGCTTTCGCTTTGAAGGACTCTTCAAGCACGTAGCCGGGATAATTAAGGTAGCCTGTGTCAGCAGGCGGAAGTATTTGTGTCTCCGTTAGGAACAACAATGCTGGCCGTGCTGTCTCGAGATGGTGGTGGACAGCGTTGAGGTTAGAGTGGAGTCCGCGTATGTTGCAGAACTCGACCTCAAACAGCGTTGAAGGCGTGGGGGTGTGCACCGCTGTACGTCCAAACTTTGTTATTGAGGCTGCCATGGTGGAAGTGAAAAAAAAGAGACGCGAAAACGAGCGGACGCCGTCGCGAAGAGTCCGAGCAAATAAGGGGGGTTTGTCTTCCCGATTGACTGCCTGCAGTGGAGATGCGCCGACCCGCCGGACGGAAGGGCCCCCGCACCCCCTCGGAAGTGGCCGCCGGGACCCCACGCCCCGGTCACCAACCGGCACGACGGTCCACCCCGAGATTATGCGTGACATGATGGGGCAGCCTCGCGAACTGGTTAGGAACCACGGGCGGCCAGCGGGACAGCCGTTTCTACGGGTCTCCCTGGCCGACGGGTCGATGCAGTCCTCCCGGCATCGGTTCCACGGATGCCTCCCCTGGACCGAATCCTTCGCGACAACTTCCACTCGAGCTCTGGTTGTACGCTGGCTGACCCCGAAACGCGCGAGAAGCACTTCACGGGTTTTTCACCATGCGCACGGTGGTAACAAACCAGGCGGGTGTTAGGCACCCTACCACCAGAAGAGCGGATGGAAGCTCCGACATCCCTTAGTCGCTTCTTACGACACCCACGGGAAGAAAAGGGGCGGTGAGTTGTATTCTTTCTCCGTCACCGCACGGATAAACTATTTACTAGCTGACCCGGCGAACTTCGTACCGCCTTAGCGTAGCTTTGATGCACTACTTTATTTTGTATAGCTGACCTATCTTATGTATGAGTACCTATTCAATTTGAACTGGAATCTATAATATCCTCCATATAAAAATGAATCCTTATTTCCCTGGTCTCGCCATACCTGAGGACTTTCCTAATTTTTATTAAATAAAAAACAACATATATATATTTTCATAATAGTCCGAAGGCAAGTTAAGCCGTTGGTCCCGGCTCCATCTGCAGTCGTTAGCACCCGCCAATCCGCATTGGGCCCGCGTGGCCGGTCATGGCCCAATCTCCCTATTCCATCCATAGGGATTGTAATCAGCGAATATTTTTCTAACTATATCACTTATGAATATTTAGGTATACCCATATATTATCTTTAACAGTTGTAATCAAAATGTACGACCGACCAACACCATTTCAATACTAAATCGGTTTTCGGTCAAAGACGTGGCAATTGAACCAAAGTTACCGATTCAATATTAAGAACAATTTATGACGGCTTATCCGCGCCTTTAAATGAAGCTGGAATTGGTAATCTTATTTCGTTTCCTATAAATCCTCGGGTAATTGGAAAAGGGGGTTCGCAGAAGAGGAAATCTGTAAATAAATATTAAATATCCGAGTCGACGAGCAATTACATAAAAGAGATAAGTAAAAAAGAATTTCAGTTGACTACGACTAACGACGCAGTATTTCGAAGAATCAATTAAAATTTCCTTCGGTTTTATCTCACACCCACTTAGGTCAAACATCATTAAATCAATTGGGAGGACTTTTCAACACTTATGTAGTCAGTGTGTATGTGTTAATGTTATTTTTTTAGAAATACCAAACATTTTTCACAACAAAGAAATAGGTATTTGCCATACAAAAGAGAAAATTCCGAAAATAAATACTTATAACTTTGACATCTTGATAAATAAACTGTCGACCGAAACTGAATATTATGAGAGGGGAAAAAAAAGTTTTTATATCTCAAAAACTGTATAATAACCAGGCATACTGCCTAAAAGAAGAAAATAATATAAAATTTATCCGCTTTCTTCTTATTCGCTTTGTGTGGAATTCATAAGAGACAGTGGAGTGAAAAATTAAACGTGATACAATTTATCGTGGTTTTCATTGTGAAATGGAATTTATTTTGTGTTGCTTCTTATAAATAAATATAAAACTTGGTGTGTGTCATGCTGCGGAGTTCCTTACCCGTTTTTTCTATACGACTAAAACTTATACTGTATGGGTTAAAAAAATTACGATGCAATAATAAAAAAATATGATGCGCACGGCTCGGGGCTGCCTCGGGAAATACCTAGACAACATGAGGCAGCAGGTCAAGGCGGCATCCAAATGGCGGTGGATCATCTTTACAGATAATAAATTGATTTCTACGCTGTCCTGTCCGTCATTTTGCACCTGATGACCTCAATACAGGATAATACAAAAATACAAATAAATTTGAAGCGCGTTGAAGTACATCATATAAGGAGTTTTTTCTAATTTTCTTAAAATATTTGCATAAAGTTTTAACTTTTTGTAAAAACAATTATTTTTAATGATCCTCGAACTAGTGACGTGTCTTAAAAAGATCGATATTTTTATTAAGCATTAAAAATACCTTTTTTGTTTTAAATTTTAATCTTCATGCAAATATTTAATAAAAAAAAATAAGGAAGACTCCTTATATGATGTACTTCAACGCCCTTCAAGCTTTATTTGTATTTTTGTAACAGCCTGTATATATGAACGAAAATAAATTACAGTTTTTTTTTTAAGAAATTTTGTGGCTAGTGATACACGGACTAATTGCCATTGTACGTGACTCACGTCCACAATTGCGAAGCAAGTACGCCGAGGTGCCTTCGAGCATAATCAAAAAACTAACACCTGTACCCTTAGCATGAACCAATATAGAATTCGAATAGTTTGCGAGTCGGGAATGTCATTGTCAAATTTTGTATGGAAACTTAAATAGCAGCGCCATAACGGGCGTAACGAGAACTAAAAATCAGTACACATTTGACAATGACATTTCTCACTCGCAAACTATTCGAATTCGATATTAGTTCGTGCTATGGGAATGGATGACTCGCGTCGAGTCACGTGCGTACGCACTTGAGACAAACGGGCGAGTCGTGCGCGACTCAGATGGGGCCTCTAATCCGTACGCACCCTAACAAGTTAATTTGAATAGAGATTTATTCATTTCTTTTTTCTGTGTGCTAAAAATAATCCTTTTTATTGGCAGGCAGCAACAAATATTGCCTGGATGTGAACTATGGCGGTGTGCTGATCATCTGGGACCGTCTGTTTGGTACTTTCAGACCCGAGTCGGACAAAGTGGAGATTGTGTATGGACTCATTTACAACCAGCCGTCGTTCAACCCCTTATACTTGCAAGTGAGAGCACATTTTTTTATAACACTCACACCAATTAGCTTCGCCCCAAAGTAAGCACTGTAAGGCATGTGTTATGGGATACTAGGTTAACTGATAGAATACATAATATACAGTACATATATAAGTATATTTATTTAGAAATACATATTAAACATCCTTGAATGGAGTACAAATGTTCGTATTCATTACACAAACATCTGCCCCCACCGGGACTCGAATCCGGGACCTCTTGGAGTCGGCGACACCATGAAACCCGGCGAACAAACCACTCGACCACGATGGTCGATGAATAACTAAATTTACACTCAAAGCTCGAAACAAGGGAAGACATTTTGTTGAAACTTCAAAAGCGTAAGTGGTTAGCGTATTCGATTTCCGATCGTGGTAGTGAATCAACTTCCGCAATGGCATATCCTCGGATGGATGACCAAAAATTTATCAGAGCTTCCTCGTGTTTTGGAAGTCGCATCAATCCGTTGGTACCTTAGCACGAATCTGCAATGGACCTGCATTATGAGTCTTGGCACAGTCTCCCTATTCCATTCATTGGGAAAACCAGTGCCTGAGCAGTGGGGACATTAATAGGCTCATATAATGATGATGTTGATGATGTTTACTATATGGTCTACAAATTGTTGCTATGAACGTAGATTTTGTGTTACCCAAGTACATTTTTCAGACAAAGGTTATTTGAAAATGATATGAAATAAATGTAGTCGTACCATCGTGTAGATCAAAGTGTCGTTTATCTTAACCTCCTGATATCAAGTTGCATTCTGAAACTGAACTGAAACTGTCTTTAATCAACCCCAAAGTTACCTCCATACAAAGACAGTTGAACCACATCAACAACTTGCTCCAACTTTGGCAAACTTGTTAAGTTCACAAGTAAGAACCATGTGAAACTCGACAAGATTAGATCAAAGCGTTTAGTAGACGTGAACAGCTGGCGTAGGTACGTACTGTATGTTTTTCCTTACCCCGGTCTAGTATGGATTGTATCCAATAAGAATGTTACTAAAGTTAATATTAAAATAGGCCAATTCATTTGGTAGCTAATGACGATGAGATAGAAAGTCTCTCTTGAGTTTGTTTCACCGGTTCTTCTCAGAAAGGTCTCAAAATTTTGGAACCGTTGGTAGTTTACGGTAGTTAGGGTCAAATAAATAAACTTAAAATTACAAAAAAGAATTTTAAATAAAATGCTTTATTAACTAAATTAAGTAATAAATTCATACATAGACAATAATAAAACTTTAAAAATCGAACAATGAAATAACCGAACGCTCAATAAAAGTCTTTTGAAGGTAGCTCGACAAAATTAAATAAAAATTTGATTCCGACGACGCAGCCTGTAAAGGCTACGAAACGTCAATAAATAAATAAAGTTTCGTGCATTAACCCGTGAAAAACTAGTTATATTTAATGAGTGATGTGTGTGAAAACCTAAGAAACAAATAATGACGCTTATATCAATATTAGCGCATTACGGAATGCTGCTGTCACACAAAATGGATTAAAAAAAATACCTAAACATCTAATAATTCGGTTTATCGGTTTCCGCCCGTAGAACAACAGTTAAATTATATGTTTCTTAGGTCTTCACGCACATCACTCATTAAATAAAATAACTTTCAACGGGTTAGATGCACCGACTTTATTTATTTGTTGACGTTTGGCATCCTTTGCAGGAATGTGTCGACAATAACCCGATGAAACTTGTTTTATTTAACAGTTAAATTGTTTTGCAAATGTACGACGACAGAATTTACACTTAAAAAAAAAATTTCGATGTCTATTCATTGTGCCAAGTATTCGATATTGCAGTAGATATTTGATCGAAAAAAATGAGTGTATAAAATGTACCTGAAAATAGCTCATAAAGCTTTGTGTATCACCTGTGAAAATATGAATATCAAAATTCACAAATGAAAGCTTCTCAAATAAACTGCTGACGAATTGTTCAAAGGCGTACATACGCTTAAAGCCTTTACGTAAACAGAACATATTATTATTATTTACATCGTTTTAGGAAGGTTAATCGGCGACTGATATTACAAAGTATTTCTGTTGTATTGTTGCTTTGTAATTCTGTTTCTGAATTCGTAGATTATTCCGGTTTATTTCAAACTAACTTTACAAAAGTAATATTTCAATTTTACCCAACCACTCGTCCGTATCATAGCCGCAAAATGGAATAAGCTAACATAATGTTCAGTGTTATTTTGCTCGCTTTTATATTTTTGAAGTGGTTTTATAATATAATATATAATATCATTTAAAATTCGACGCCTCCGTGGCCGAGTGGTTTGTACGCCGGGTTTCAAGGTGTCGCAAGAGGTCCCGGATTCGAATCCCGGTGGTGGGGGCAGATGTTTGCGTGATGAATACGAGCATTTTTACTCCAGTCATGTGTTGTATAAGAATCTCTTAATTGTCATGTTTTTTATAAAGAAATAAATTTTTGTCACTTGGCAGAGATGACGCAAAATGCAATGGTTTTATTTTAACAACTTTTGCTTTAAATTACTTATATTTAACATGGCACAGCCTGTAAACTAATATTTTTTATTAATTTAAGATAGGTACGTGTGAAGTGAGATATATAAAGTGATATAGTGTTCATTTTTCAAAATAGCACAATCTTCGCAACTAGCCGAAGAAAGGAAAACATTAAATCAATTTTCGCACATAATACTTCCTTCCCAATTATCTTGGGAAGGTAATTTATCTGAAAATTGGATAAAAATAAACATATATTGGATAATATGGATGTTTAATATGTACCTATTTCTATATAAACGTATATATGTGTCTTTTCTATCCTTTACCCTAGCATCCCATAACACAAACCTTACAGGGCTTACTTTGGGGCTTGGCTAATTGCATATTTACTTTAAATAAAAAAAATAGGTAGGTATGGTTGCACAGTGTACACAGTTCGCACAAATTCTCAAAATTAATATTTTCGTTCCATACCAATTACGAGCCATTTTATCTTCATCTTTCCGAGTTCAAGCTTTTCATTATAGACCGGATGATTTTTTTGTCCTCAATGCCCAATATTTTCTTTTAACTCTTAGAAGAAATTACCCATCTTTGTCCACTGCTGGACATAGGCCTCCCCATAGAACGCCACAATGCGCGGTCCTGCGCTATCCGCATCCAGCGGCTCCCAGCACATTTGATGATGTCGTCAGTCCACCTTGTTGGGGGCCGCCCCACGCTGCGTCGTCCGGTACATGGCCGCCACTCGAGGACCTTTCTTACCCAACGGTTGTCAGATCCTCGAGCGATGTGGCCTGCCCATTGCCACTTCAGTGTGCTAACTCTTCGGGCTATGTCGTACACACCTGTCCTTCTGCGGATCCCCGTATTTCGGATCTTATCACGTAGGGAAACACCGAGAATAGCCCTCTCCATAGCACGCTTACCCATCTTACTTGTAATATATTAGGATTTTCTTTTTATACTTTTTAATTTGAAAATGAACTAAGTGATCTTTTGACCATACATAAGCTTACTGACGTCAGCAGCGAAAATATTGGATTACCGTTAAACTAATTAAACAAACTCACAGGAATAGCTTTTTCATTTCCCTCCCTAATTGGTTGAAACCGTTTTGTTGACGACATAGGGGCCGTACCTACCTGTAGTACCGACGCTGATTATAAAGCACTGAAAATGTAAATGGAAATTACATTGGCTTCGTTTTAAATATTGAATTCTCTCTAAAATCGTCTTCTGTTTCGTATAAACAATGAAAACAGATTTAACTCAAGAAAATATTGATCAAACAACGCATTAAGCTCATCTATAAATGCGAAGTGTCATTGAAAAGGAATTTGCTTATTTTTTTCTTGATCCTATTTTGAGTGAGTACAGCTTGATCTTTGTAGCGTTAAGTCATTAACTTTTAAAATTGCCATGATCGAAACGAAAATTCTCATTTCTCCATTATTATCAACTTTCAGTCTTTTAAGATTACATTTATCTCCTTTACAACCTCCGTGGCAGAGTGGTTTGTATGCCGGGTTTCATGGTGTCCCGGGTTTGAATGCCGGTGGGGGCAGATGTTTGTGTGATGAATACGAGCATTTGTACTCCAGTCATGGATGTTTAATATGTATTTCTATATAAATATACTTATATATGTACAGTATATGTATTCTATCCGTTACCCTAGCATCCCATAACACAAGCCTTACAGTGCTTACTTTGGGGCTAGGCTAATTGGTGTGAGTGCTGGAAATATTTATTTATTTATTTTATATTTATCTCCTTTCATTTAATCATTATCTAAATTCACTTAATCATTTTTATAAACTTCTTTTATTAACAACAATTAGATGGAAGCTACATTTAAAAAAAAAATGTTGCGTTTCGGTGTTGCGGCGTTTTTGCACATTTATGATAACTTACAATTATCTTGTTCCAGGGTTTCTACACGGGCTACGTGGTTGATAAGTTCAGGAGGTTCGACAAATTTGGAGACAAGTTGAGATCGGTGTTCTTCGGACCCAGCTGGGAGCCCGGCACTCCGAGACTGGGAGACGAGGCGATGAAAATTGATGTAAGTCCTTAATTTAATAAAGTATTAACGATTGATTACCAAAAGTATTCATAAGTATTAATAATAATGACAATGAAATACTTCTAACTAAGAAATACCGATATCAAGCGTTAAAAGATTAAAGAAGATAATGTTACTTTCTATACGATGGCGATAGAAAAAAAACGACGGGTTGCACTCCGGGAGTCCCGGCAGAGGTGAAAACTTGAATATTAACGTTGTGCATTTTTGACATTTTGGAATGGTTAGGGAATAATTTTGCACGAATTACTTTAATTACCAGTATAAAAGTACTACCATGTATGTGGTAGAATACAATATTTATTTATTGCGCTATCGTACACAAACATGACAATTTATATTACATTAAAAAGGTTTATCTCTCAGAAAAATCAACTTACATGAATCACGTTTAAGCGCACTTAGCGACATCTATTGTAAAGGAATCAACTTACATGAATCACATTTCAGCGCACCTAGTGACATCTATTGTGAAAAAATGCATTTTCTTCGCAATAAAGCTGCCACGTGGACGTCCTAGATAGTCTTATTATTATAATACGACAAAATAAAATATTACTATGTTTCGTCCAATATATTGAAAGTCAACAATCTTTCCAATTTTATTGTATGTCATGATGCGATCAGCCCACGTGTTTAACTTGACGCGAGTTTAACATTTTTTACCCATACAAAAGAAAAGTGTACAACATCGCTAAAGAAGTTTTCACTTCAAAAAAAAAAAAATTAACAAGTCAATTTGATAATTATTAATTTTATTTGACAGCACTTACAGTTTCTTAGTTCTTGCAAGGTAACCAATAAACTTTTCTAATATTTTTAAACCCGATTTCTGCATTAGATGTAAGCGCCTCCAGTTAGTTTAGCTAGCGTACTACTCACTTTTTTGTTTCTTGTATAAATAATATCTTTTTTTTCCTTAATTTATTGTCACATGTTTATTTTATAAATTTCAGTTTTATAAAAAAAGTTTTGTTTCATTTCCAGATCCTCCCTCGAGAGAAATATGATGTCCATTTACCGACCTGGTGCAATTTGTACCTGGTGGTGCATTATACTGTCGTTTTGTACGGCTTCTTCGAGCTCTCAGCAAGATATATGGTGATTATTTCTTACCTCATCATTAACCTTCTAACTTTTCATGTCAGGCATGTCTTTATTATAGAGAATTACCACATTTTCCCAAAAGAAGACGTCGTCACAAGCTTTAAATTTTTAAATTAAATATTTCCAACAACACTCCAACACACACACCAATTAGCCTAGCCCCAAAGTAAGCACTATAAGGCTTGTGTTATGGGATGCTAGGGTAACGGATAGAATACGTATACTGTACATATATAAGTATATTTATATAGAAATACATATTAAACATCCATGTCTGGAGTAAAAATGCTCGTATTCATCACACAAGCATCTGCCCCCCACCGGGATTCGAACTCGGGACCTCTCGAATCGGCTACACCATTAAACCCGGCGTACAAACCACTCGGCCACGGAGGTGGTCAAAAGCTCCCACTCCCAAACGGTGACGAGTTTTTTTTGTATATCTTTGATTGATTGACAATAGAAAATATGTATGTCCATTAATTTTTGATATCTTAACTGACGGACTAAAAATAATTTTGTTTACCCCGTCATCATCCCTGTTACCATGAGCATTTTAATTAGGTACCACACAGTAACACTAACATCATCAGCCTATTAATGTCCCCACTGCTGGGGCACAGGCCTTCCCTAACAACACAAATCCGAAATTAAAACTACTTTAATTGCAAAAGTTGTACGATTGGTTAGTACAATATCAAAGATTCTGGTTTCCGCTTCCAAAGGCATTGTGTTCGAATTACGGAGATTTATTTCTTTATAGTTATAATTTTTATTATTTTTAAAGCATGTAACTGCTTGATGTTTAAATCTAAAGAAAATATAACTAGAAAAAATTCCACGCGGACCAGGCAGCAGACGGGACTCGAACCCGCACCCTTCGCAATCCGGGCGAATGCACTGACCAATTATGCTACCGCGGCCCTCACGGACCGCGTCGAAATTCCTTCTAGCTATTCTTAAGCTGCAAGGCAGCGCCATCTCTTCGCATTATAGGTAAACCCACAATGTCAAATGAATACTTTTACAAGTATTAAACATTTGAAAGAAGAAATAGCAATTATAGTTATAATTTTTATTATTTTTAAAGCATGTAACTGTTTGATGTTTAAATCTAAAGAAAATATAACTAGAAAAAATTCCACGCGGACCAGGCAGCAGACGGGACTCGAACCCGCACCCTTCGCAATCCGGGCGAATGCACTGACCAATTATGCTACCGCGGCCCTCACGGACCGCGTCGAAATTCCTTCTAGCTATTCTTAAGCTGCAAGGCAGCGCCATCTCTTCGCATTATAGGTAAACCCACAATGTCAAATGAATACTTTTACAAGTATTAAACATTTGAAAGAAGAAATAGCAATTATAGTTATAATTTTTATTATTTTTAAAGCATGTAACTGCTTGATGTTTAAATCTAAAGAAAATATAACTAGAAAAAATTCCACGCGGACCAGGCAGCAGACGGGACTCGAACCCGCACCCTTCGCAATCCGGGCGAATGCACTGACCAATTATGCTACCGCGGCCCTCACGGACCGCGTCGAAATTCTTTCTAGCTATTCTTAAGCTGCAAGGCAGCGCCATCTCTTCGCATTATAGGTAAACCCACAATGTCAAATGAATACTTTTACAAGTATTAAACATTTGAAAGAAGAAAGCGAAGAGATGGCGCTGCCTTGCAGCTTAAGAATAGCTAGAAAGAATTTCGACGCGGTCCGTGAGGGCCGCGGTAGCATAATTGGTCAGTGCATTCGCCCGGATTGCGAAGGGTGCGGGTTCGAGTCCCGTCTGCTGCCTGGTCCGCGTGGAATTTTTTCTAGTTATATTTTCTTTAGATTTAAACATCAAGCAGTTACATGCTTTAAAAATAATAAAAATTATAACTATAATTGCTATTTCTTCTTTCAAATGTTTAATACTTGTAAAAGTATTCATTTGACATTGTGGGTTTACCTATAATGCGAAGAGATGGCGCTGCCTTGCAGCTTAAGAATAGCTAGAAGGAATTTCGACGCGGTCCGTGAGGGCCGCGGTAGCATAATTGGTCAGTGCATTCGCCCGGATTGCGAAGGGTGCGGGTTCGAGTCCCGTCTGCTGCCTGGTCCGCGTGGAATTTTTTCTAGTTATATTTTCTTTAGATTTAAACATCAAGCAGTTACATGCTTTAAAAATAATAAAAATTATAACTATAATTGCTATTTCTTCTTTCAAATGTTTAATACTTGTAAAAGTATTCATTTGACATTGTGGGTTTACCTATAATGCGAAGAGATGGCGCTGCCTTGCAGCTTAAGAATAGCTAGAAGGAATTTCGACGCGGTCCGTGAGGGCCGCGGTAGCATAATTGGTCAGTGCATTCGCCCGGATTGCGAAGGGTGCGGGTTCGAGTCCCGTCTGCTGCCTGGTCCGCGTGGATTTTTTTCTAGTTATATTTTCTTTAGATTTAAACATCAAGCAGTTACATGCTTTAAAAATAATAAAAATTATAACTATAATTGCTATTTCTTCTTTCAAATGTTTAATACTTGTAAAAGTATTCATTTGACATTGTGGGTTTACCTATAATGCGAAGAGATGGCGCTGCCTTGCAGCTTAAGAATAGCTAGAAGGAATTTCGACGCGGTCCGTGAGGGCCGCGGTAGCATAATTGGTCAGTGCATTCGCCCGGATTGCGAAGGGTGCGGGTTCGAGTCCCGTCTGCTGCCTGGTCCGCGTGGATTTTTTTCTAGTTATATTTTCTTTAGATTTAAACGTCAAGCAGTTACATGCTTTAAAAATAATAAAATTATAACTATAATTGCTATTTCTTCTTTCAAATGTTTAATACTTGTAAAAGTATTCATTTGACATTGTGGGTTTACCTATAATGCGAAGAGATGGCGCTGCCTTGCAGCTTAAGAATAGCTAGAAGGAATTTCGACGCGGTCCGTGAGGGCCGCGGTAGCATAATTGGTCAGTGCATTCGCCCGGATTGCGAAGGGTGCGGGTTCGAGTCCCGTCTGCTGCCTGGTCCGCGTGGAATTTTTTCTAGTTATATTTTCTTTATTTCTTTATGATTAGCACAAATATTTGTTTTAAATTTATGGTTCTTCACATACGTATTTATATATGAGATTTTTTGTATCCATGGCGCAACCTTAGTTTAGCTTGGGACTAAACCATTTCAGTTAGTTGTTTAAAATTAATAATAAATTAAAATGTTTGAACAGAGTCGAAAGCAGGTCTTAATTATAGATCCAGCAAACTAATGTAATATCATGTTTTAAATAATAAATTCTTCGTCATAATGAAACAATTTCAAACAGGCTGCAAAGTGCTTCTTGTAATAATATTTAATTAATGTAGCGCTTTCAAATTAGCCGAAATATCTTTTAAGTGGAAAACTAAAATGATATTTCAGCTAATTTGAGCAGGCATCTGAACTTTAGCTAAATTCAATAAGAAGTTAAGAGTAATGCTTCGAAATTGGAAGAAACATATAACAAATAAAACAAAAATAAAATAGTTATAATTTTTTTTTTTAAAGCATGTAACTGCTTGATGTTTAAATCTAAAGAAAATATAACTAGAAAAAATTACACGCGGACCAGGCTTTTTTTCTAGTTATATTTTCTTTAGATTTAAACATCAAGCAGTTACATGCTTTAAAAAAAATTATAACTATAATTGCTATTTCTTCTTTCAAATGTTTAATACTTGTAAAAGTATTCCTTTGACATTGTGGGTTGCCTGTAATGCGGTAGCATAAGTGGTCAATGCATTCGCCCGGATTGCGAAGGGTGCGGGTTAGAGTCCCGTCTGCTGCCTGGTCCGCGTGGAATTTTTTCTAGTTATATTTTCTAAAAATAAAATATTTGTTTTTTTTTTCATTTAGGCAATCGTTACGTCATGTTAAATAAAAAAAGAAAATATAGTGTTCAATAAAAATGTAATTTTATACATCTAACTAGTTCTGTACCCTTAATAATAAATATAGTACGAGTTTTACAATTACGAAAACTATGATAGTTTTCGTGAGCTTGCACTCGTTGATTTTATTGTTTCTGTTTCAATAGAAATAATAACTGTTTAAATTCCATCATTAAATCATTTGCGTCTTCTTAAATTTTAAGTATATTTGGTTACTTTTCACCAAAATGGACAAAGAAACATAATTTACAATTACGAAAACTATGATAGTTTTCGTGAGCGCAAACTCGTACTAAGGGTGCTGTAACGTCATTTAATACGACTATTATCGTCTTCAAATTATAGTTTTATTTTTGACGACCTCCGTGGCCGAGTGGTTTGTACGCCGGGTTTCATGGCGTCGCCGACTCGAGAGGTCCCGGGTTCGAATCCCGGTGGGGGCAGATGTTTGTGTGATGAAAACGAGCATTTCAGCTCCAGTCATGGATGTTTAATATGTATTGCTATATAAATATACTTATATACTAATATGTAAAGTATATGTATTCTATCCGTTACCCTAGTATCCCATAACACAAGCCTTATAGTGCTTACTTTGGGGCTAGGCTAATTGGTGTGAGTGTTGGATATATTTATTTATTTATTTTTTATTCTGAGGAGCTCGATGGCGCAGGTGGCTAGCGCGTTCGGCTGCGATCGTTGAAGTTAAGCAACTTTCGCAGTGGTCGGTCATTGGATGGGTGACCAAAAATTTACTATCTCGAGCTCCTTCGTGCTTCGGAAGGTACGTTAAGCCGTTGGTCCCGGCTGCATTTGCAGTCGTTAGCACCCACCAATCCGCACTGGGCCCGCGTGGTGGGTCATGGCCCAATCTCCCTATTCCATCCATAGGGAAGGCCTGTGCGCCAGCAGTGGGGACATCAATAGGCTGATGATGATGATGATGTTGGATATATTTATTATTTATTATTATTATTTATATTAAATGCAGCCGCCATTAAGAAAATATTAATGTTGAGTAAGCAAAAAAAGTTTGCCACGCTCCTAATAGGAACTCATTCATCATGTCAACGTGATTTGGGTCCCAGAATAAAAATATAATTGAAATAAAGTTGTATAATATTATGATAAGTGCTTTAGGAACTTGCGTGTTATTAATTTTAGGTAGATATAATAGAACTGTCCGTGATTGTAAATGATTAAATAAATAATTTTATCTCGAAAAGAATTACTGTAAGATGCAAGAACACAAGCCGAAAATTTGAAAGAAACATCATCGAGATGATGAAATTTCATATGAATTTAATTTGATTTGTCAATTTTCTTTAATTTCTTTATATATTTAACACAGTTATACATATATTTGTGTGTAACTATATTAAAACTATTAACTGTACCCCTAGCACGAACCATTATCGAATTCGAATAGTTTGCAAACCGAAATGTCAATGTCAAATTTTGTATGGAAACTTGCACAGCAGCGGCACAAAGTACGTAAACAGAACTAAAAATCAATACACATTTGACAATGACATTTCGGACTCGATTTCGATTCGAATTCGATATTGGTTCGTGTTAAGGGTACTGTACCCCTAGCACCATTATCGAATTCAAATAGTTTGCAAACCGAAACGTCAATGTCAAATTCTGTATCGAAACTTAAACAGCAGCGGCACAAAGTACGTAACGCGAACTAAAAATCAGTACACATTTTGACAATGACATTTCGGACTCGCAAACGATACGATATTGGTTCGTGCTAGGGGTACTGTATCCTCTTAAATGTAAAAATCTCTGGAAAAGTTGGTGACTTTCCAATATCGAATCATCAGTCTCGTTACTAATAAAATATTAAGGCTAGTAATTAGGCAGGCTGCCATAACGAGCCTTAACGACCTTTACAAGTGGTCATACTGAAAAAGTAAATGTTCATTCCAATGCTCTCTGGTAGTTCAAAAATAAAATAGGAATACCTTCATCATAATCACCATCAGCCTATTAATGTCCCCACTGCTGGGGCACAGGCCTTCCCTGTGGATGGAATAGGGAGATCGGGCCGTGACGTGACCCTGACCACTGGTGAGTCACGTCGCGCGCCTAGCATGGATTAGTGGGTGCTAATGACTGCAGATGAAGCCGGGACGCCGGGCTAAGCGTGATCTCCGAAGCACGGAGGTGCTCGTGATTTTGGTCACCCATCCAATGACCGACCGCTTCCAAAGTTAAATAAATAAATAAATAAAATAAATAAATATTTTCGACACTCACACCAATTAGCCTAGCCCCAAAGTAAGCACTGTAAGGCTTGTGTTATGGGATGCTAGGGTAACGGATAGAATACATATACTGTACATATATAAGTATATTTATATAAATACATATTAAACATCCATGACTGGAGTACAAATGCTCGTATTCATCACACAAACATCTGCCCCCACCGGGATTCGAACCCGGGACCTCTCGAGTCGGCGACAGCCATGAAACCCGGCGTACAAACCACTCGGCCACGGAGGTCGTCAAGTTGCTTAACATCCGCGAGCGCAGGCCGAATGCGCTAACTACCTGCGTAATCGAGCTTCTCCTTAAGAATGCCTATCACCCTTGTTAAGTGGAGATCCTTTAACCTTTGCAGTCTTCGGATCAAATGCCCCGGTTCGGGGCATCAATGTACTACATACAAGCGTACACTCATCAACAGAACAGACTTACCGAAACTAGCGAATTCTTCCGACTTATTCTTGATCTTGTCAACACTTACTTAAAGTATAAAATTGAATAGAATAGAATGTTCAATACACGTTCTAAAAGTAAATCTCATTTTGGAACTACTTTAAAAGCTAGATTTCTTACTGAGAACTGTTCGATAATACGGGCCTTACACTTTCTGCCTAGTGATCTGATGTCATGGCAACTGTAATTTGTACCGAGCGAATAAAATGGATAAATAAAGGATCACTGAAATAAAATGTTGTCTATTTTATCGTAGTTGAATGTATGTAAGGTTGTTTTGATTTTTATATTATCAGTCAAAATGGCTTAAAGACTGTCTGCTATACCTTTGCCGTTTGATAGCAATAGGGTATTTGACAGTGTTAAAAATTAAGTGTCAATTGTTAGCATCTGTGTTTAGAATGAATATTGGCAGGGGTTTTTACTATTTTTACATAAAAAATATTCATAATTTTCCTAAAAACTAACGAAAAAGATAATAGTTTTCGTTTTCTATTGTCATGTGACCCAAAACGCTTGGGATTGGCGGAGCCTAAAATGACGTCACACTCAAGTAAACTTCCGGTTAAAGTGACATTACATTGTATCGTTTGACGTTTTAATAACAGTCGTGTGACCTCACATACTAGTAAGACGCCATATTGTCCAGAGAAACGTTTTCGCGGCAACTTGAAAATGGAGTTTTTGATTTGTTTTTTTTTACTGAATTATACAACAGAACGATGAATATCCACTTTTTACGGACTCCGTAAACATTAGTCAATAACGTGAGATCGTTTTCTAAAACTTGTAAAATACCCTATTATGGAATAAAACTGTCCACTTACTCGTTTTCGTGAATTTAGTATACCTGCAGAAACACGATACTCGAGCAAAGTGCCTAATCTAACTTTAAGTTGTTATTTGCGAGTCTCAGTTATTTCGGCACTGTTTGCTAGCCATGATCATCGAGTAACTAAGAAGCAATCCCGTTATTAAAACAGAGTTCTATAATGTTAGTTACCATGAAAGTTTCAAACAATATATCTAATGTAACTGTTTCTTTACAGGGCATGACTCCGATATCTGTGTTGATCTTCGCCTTCTACATCATCGCTTGTCTCACCATCATAGGGATGTTGTTCGACAACTCCAAATACGCACCCGTCCTCGAAGTCATCAGATGTTCTGTCCTAGCTTTCCTCACGAGAAGCCTTTTGGGCACCAGCCCCTCGGGGACCTCCCTGCAGATCTTCTACGTAGTATCTGCCATGTTCTGGTGTCTGAACATCTTGAAACTGTTGGAGATTAAGAAAACTCAGAAAGTAGACTAGATATACCTAAGAAAGTTTGCCTCATCAGCGGTCGAATACTTAAATTTATATGTCAGTTGAGGTCTTTACAATTTAAAGGATATTAGATGTACAGCAAACCCAAAACGCGTGAATCAGGAAGAAGTTGAGTACAGAATGCGCTCAAGGGCAACCGAAAGTGCTTATTGTAATTCGTTTCATTATGTGCCTCATATTTTGTATTCACAAGATGAAGATGAAGATGAAGATGTGCATGTTTTATAGAAGCGTCATTGCTTGTTATTAAGTTGTTTCAAGAATTGATGTTCGTCAATATTTTTAGAGAGATATTTATAGCTGGCAACTACAATTCGCTTTAAAATCTTGCGTCCTGCTTTTATATCAAAATATATTGTTTTTGTATTATAGCAGCTGCATGAGGTAAAATTAATTATATGACTGATATAAAACTGATCCTTTTGCCTTGTGGCATGATCGCGACTGATTTGAGAATTTTGTGAGTAAAGCTTACTTTTCTTACAAATATTAATAAAAAAAAGAAATAAAAGATAAACATAGTATGAAATATATTGTGTTTTCTCATTTGACGTTATAGATAATTTTTAATTAAAAGTCAGCCATGAATTTTATTAATAACATACTTGATACAATATCCAGTAAAATAATAAGATTAGATTATCTATAGGAATAATAAGATCGTATGTAACTGTTAAATGTGTGTGGTTTTGTTTTGATTAAATGGTAATATATTTAAATTTACTTTTTTATAAATTAAGAAGGATATATTAAATTAATTTAAGTTATAAGTTTTATTTGAATGGTGAATGAAAAAATTACCTTACCTCATATCTCCCAGCGCTGTGAAGAACAATGCAAGCTATAGAAACATATTTATATACGATTTAGATATCAGTTAATGTAAATTTATGCAATCATGGATAGAAAATGTTAATATTCTATAGAGTTTCGAGTTTTACTACGATGACTTCGTAATAACTTATTACATTAGAATATATATAAATTTCTATTAATTCAAATTTATTGAACATTTTCTTGCTAAAATATTATTTTAAGACTACATAGAATAATAATGAGCATAATTGAAACGAAAATGTATATTGCGTGTTTGATGTAGAGCGTAAATTTTTAAAAGCTATTCTTTGTTACCTACTTGTAGTCAACGAATTTGCATTTTAATAGGTTTGTAAGTCTATATTTAATGTACGTTAAATGTTACTAAGAATAATCTTATTTACGAATACTTAGTATTTATCGAAATTGTTAGCAATATTGTTACGAGAGTTTTGTAATAAAAATAATTTAAAAAAATGATTTCGTTTCATTATATTCGCAATTATTTCTTGTTAGGTGAAATGAACAGATTTTCCGGTTTATTATAGACTTCCTAATATTGAATCTGGACCATGTATGTAACACTTTTGTGTTGTAATGATGGGTTATAACATTTTTTAAACTATCACATAACTTCCTTCAGATTTAGCATTTTCAAAGTAATATAAGAAAATATGTAATAAATATTTGGATCAATGTACTTAAAATTGAAAAATAACCCTAGGCCAAGTTACTAGTTATCACAGTACTCTTCTCATCGATCTAAGTCATGGATCAGACAAATAAATCGTGGTACACCCCATGATTTATTTGTTTATTTATTTGCGTAACCCGAATAATCCGTATATTGTATTTCTAATTAAACGAATTGTTGCCTATTGATATAGAAAAGTAACACACCTTACGTTTTTATTTATTTGTCTGCAAACTTTAAAAATAATACATTCAGTGACGCATAAAGTCAAATAAATAGACACGGAAGGCCTTAAGTTAAATCGGGAAGTTCTATCCTGATTTGTCATAAAATCTATCCGGATTTGTCACAATATAACACGTTGATGTATCAATTTATTAAAGACTTAGTGTCGCCGCACACGGGCCACACGCCACAGCCACAAACGCCGCCACGAGAAGGTAGAAGCGGCTACTAAAGGGGCTGAAGCGCGCGACAGCGGCCGAACTAAGGTGAGGGAGAGAGGGGTGGGGAATCGCGCGAGTGACGTGTGGCGGCGTTTTGTAGTGGCCGGTGCGGGCCACAAGAAGCGAGCAACGATGATTGGTAGCGTGTGGCGGCCGTGCGTACCGTGTGTGGCGAGTCCATATAAAATGTATGAAAACCACAAGAAATATGCTGGTGGCGGCGTTTTGTGGTTGTGGCTAAAACATTTTCATGATTTTCAATATTTACATTTACTTACCTTCCAATACATTATCTCCACTTCTTTTTGCATTATTTATTAATACTATCTCTTTAAATTTATCTTCATCCTACCACCTTTATGCAGACGATTTACAGTTATATTGCCAGGCTCCACTTGAAAAACTTGAAGAAGCAATATTAAAAACCAATCTTGATTTATGTCGAATTGTGGAATGGAGTAAAGCTTTTGGCCTTAATGTTAACCCTATTAAAACTCAAGTTATGGTTGTGGGTAGCTCCAGATTATTGTCACAAATTAACTGGATTGCTCTTCCTAAAGTAAAATTCGAAGGAACTGATATACCTTATAGTACAACGGTGAAAAATCTGGGAGTTATATTAGACAGCACATTGAGCTGGGAGCCACAGCTACAAGCTGTAAGTCGAAAGATGTATGCGTCTGCTGGTTCATTAAGAAGACTTCGTAACTTTTTACCTACTGCCACTAAAATTATGCTTTCTCAATCTCTGTTACGTCCAGTCCTTGACTATGCTGACGCCTGCTATCCTGACCTTACGGAGGACCAGCTAAATAAACTTGAGCGCCTTCAAAATTTCTGCATCAGGTTCATATTTGGTTTAAGAAAATATGATCACGTTTCCCAGTATCGCTCTCAACTCAAGTGGCTTCCAATTCGTCGTCGCCGGGATACTCATATACTTTCCTTTCTTTACAATGTTTTGTTTAATCCTTATTACCCCAATTATCTCAAAGAACTTTTCAGTTTTCTCCACAGTTCCCATGCCCAGATGTTACGCTCATCAGAGAATCTGAGCCTTAAAACTCCTGCACACAATACCTCCTTTTATAAATACTCTTTTTGTGTTGAAGCTGTGCGCCTCTGGAACTCCCTTCCTGTTGAGATTAGACGTGCACAGACTATAGGAAAGTTTAAAAGTGAGGTAATGGAATTTTTCCTTTTACAATAATTGTTTGTGTTGTTGCCATGCATTTTAAAAATGTGTATTTTATTTTATGTACCGATGTATGTTTTTGTTTGTTTACTTGTTTTTTTTTTATCAGTTTCTATTTTATATTATGAACAGTTATTTTCATCATGGTTATATTTTGTTTTCCTTTTTTTTTCTATTTTAATTTTGTAATTGCACACCCCCTCTTTAATTGAATTTCGACTCTCCATCCTATGGTTGTCTGGAAGAAATGGCTACATAGCCATAAGACCGCCAATTGTCCGCCTTTTTAAATTATTGTCCTAATTTTGTATTTATAATGTGGTGTGTACAATAAAGAATTATCTATCTATCTACATTCCATGAATTTTTTCTCTCGGGTAAGTCAATCGTTAGATATTATTCACTACAAAACTTTAAAAGGGTGGTCGATTTTAAACATTTCCACCCTATACTGAACTTTATGTCGACAAAATAGAGGTCAGGATACGTAGCAAACTGCTGAGTCAGCAATTGAAAAAGTTGTCGCCTAAACTCGAAGACAACTCGATATTAAAGTTGGCGAGTATTAAAACTGTTACGAATAGACAAAGTTCCGGAAAAAAGTATTAAGTGCATATACATATTACACTGGCTAGTCGTTTCAGAGTTCCGTAGCCAACAATAATGGAACCCTGCTTCTAAACCTCTATAAAGTGCAGTACCCTTAGCACGAACAATTATCAAATTCGAATAGTTTGAGTCCGAAATGTCATTGTCATGTATGAAAACTTGAACATTAGCGCTATTACGTACGTAACGAGAACTAAAAATCAGTACACATTTGAAAATGTTATATCGTACTCGTAGACGAATTCGACCTAGATATACGTCAAATGTGTACTGATTTTTAGTTGTCATTACGTCCGATGCGGCGCTGCTTTTCGAGTTTCCATGGAAAATTTGATATTGACACTTCGCACTCGCAAACTATTCAAACTCAAACTCATTTATTCAGTCTAGGCTGTTACAAGCTCTTGTGAAAGTCAAACGCTACGCCATCGGTTCATATATCTACAGCGGGAGACCTTGTACTGAGAAGAACCGGCAAGAAACTCAGCAAGGACTATTTTTTTTCTCCCTGTTTTGTTTCAAACAGTGTCGTCAATTGAAAGATGACATCAAAAATTTAAAACATGTGTTGATGTCAACTTCCATCACATTAACAAAAGTTAAGTATAGCTAAATATAAATATATCAGTATTCGAATTCGATATTGGTTCGTGCTAGGGGTACAATACCCTTAGCACGAACAAATATCGAATTCGAATACCCAGTTGAATTCGATCTAGATACGCGTCAAATTTCAAGAGTATTTTTAATTCTCGTTATGTCCGCTGTGGTACTGTTCAAATTTCATACAAAACTTTTTGACATTTGACGCGTATCGAAATCAAATTCAACTATTCGAATTTGATTTTGATTCGCGCTAAGGGCATAGCTGTACCCCTAGCACGAACCATTATCGGATTCGAATAGTTTGCAAACCGAAATGTCAATGTCAAATTTTGTATGGAAACTTGAACAGCAGCGGCACAAAGTACGTAACGAGAACTAAAAATCAGTACACATTATTTGACAATGACATTTCGGACTCGCACACGATACGAATTCGATATTGGTTCGTGCTAGGGGTACTGGTCTTAATTGATTGGAGCGAGCGAAGCTCCGCTGAGTCAGATTCAATGATTATGCCTTAGTTTAAAGGGTTCTTGACCGATTTTTTTGTTTAATCGAATAAATGGATCAAAGCGCATTTTGTAGCGGAATCATGATATTTAGACAAACAAAAGAATCACGCTCCGCTCCAATATATGGTTCTAGCGATACTTTATGCTAAGCGACCGAAGTAATGGTCG